TCGAAGCAGAAAATTATGGAGAAAATTTCTTTAACCTACTCACCGCTTGCTTAAAGTGAACCTTAAGCATTATAATTTCGTCGCTAAACCGTTTTTAATTATTAGAATAATCTTTTTTTGATGTGCTCTACTTTTTCATCGTTTTAATCTAATGACAAAATTTAAAATTAAGAGAATGTATTTGAAAGTATTATTCTGGGCATGCTCTAATAGAGAATTTCACAAAGTATGGTCGGGGAAAGTCAAGACCATCGTTCGTTTGACAGGTCAACCAGCTAAAAGGATGACGAAAATAGCGCCTCCTAGACGCTTCAAGAACACACATGACTCAGACTTGGGTTAGCCGTAAAAATAAAATAACGTACACACTTTATTTATCCATTGGGTAACGATAATTATTATCTTTATACTCACGTTTTATTAATTTGTGTTATTTTTTACGTACACATGTGTTTCTCTGATATTTTTAAAACAATAAATTACGACACAAAACGCTTGTCCTATATTGGTTACGTGTTAATTTAAAGTTTGTGGTTGCTTATTAATCAAGGTGGTATTAATTTAATTAACACTTCTTGGCATAAAGCAAGCAATTTGTCGTAATAAAAATCTCTTACAAAACGTCTACATATTTCTTTGTCGCGTGAGGCCAATAATTCTTATTAAAACCGTTGGCTTTCTATTAAACGATAAATCGAAACAGTTTTAATAGCCACCGAAGGATAATTGATGCAATTATTAAAGAAACACTATAGTTAATTGAAACGGCCGTTACTGCATCCGAAATATGTTCATCGTATGCATATTTTATTGTAATTAAAATAATGATATAGCAACCGGTGAACGTTATTAAGTTTTTCTAAAATATCATGATTTATCATTATGGACTTATTTTGACTGCAGTCATAAATTAAATAAATAAGTCTACGATTAGATTATCTTTTTTATTAACGTAATAATATATTACGCGACGGACGTTAAACAACAAATTTGCAAACGTTAACCAAAAGAGATTTTTTTCAGATAAAGTGTGATAGCAATAATTCATAAGGATGATTCTAAATATTTATTCTTTAATCTTTTCTTGTGGAAATGTGTCTCGCAAAATTAAAAAACAGATTCACTCAATTTTATTGCGACTTCTTACATAATAAAAAACATGTTGTATAATTTTCTGTGTGGAGTCAGTAATAAATTTCAGTTTGGACGCCACGATTAATTAAATATTTAGTAAAAGCTGAAGTTTAATTGAAAAAATTTGTATGGTGTTTTATAATCGATATAATTTTAGCAGCAATACATAATACAAAAAATCCGCTGGTTACCATTTCGGTTACCACGGCTGCTTTTTTTTGACTGATACTGTGTGGGAAATAAAATACGCAAGTTATTTAACCTATGTAAAAATTTAATTTTGTAAAAATTTTCTGCCAAACTGGTCTACAGAAGAAGTGATAGAACGTTAAAAAACTTTTTTCTAAAATCTGTATGATTTTAAATTTTACAATTTCTCATTCTTGTGATAAGCTTGCTAAATGCACTTTTAGATCTGCTTGATTTCGTTGGATAAAATTGCATAAACTCAAGGTTTTTGTTGTTTCCTTGTGGTTAGTTTTAATAATAACTTGAGTATAAATCTTATGTAACTTTTTTGTTATTTCTCTTAGTGCGTAATTAATGTTTAGTAATGCAACGAATCGTAATAAGCGCAACTGTAGTTTGTCAGAGTTGAATTTCAGTAAACAGCTAAAAAATTGGTATAAAGTTATTTAGACAGAACTTCCCAGGAAAAAATAAATTATCAGTACGTGCTTATTTTATTATTATTAAATATAGACGGGCGCAATATTACTCTAAAAATGTGATCAATGAGTCAATGGAACCAGCAACCTTTGCATTAACAATTCAATATTTTTACGCCACGAACACGAATTTCACTACATGTCAGTGTTCTTAAAGTGTGAAGAAGCAATTTGGATTTTTTTTGCGAAAATCTGGATGTCTAGGGTAAAACAAATGGATTTTACTAAATAAAATTTAAGGAGACGTCATCAAGAATATTATCTGTCTAATAAAAATCAACACAGACAACAAACGGAATCGGAAGACCTATTTTTTCGTACTCTAAGGGTCATGAAACGTCGTGAAAACATGAAAATAGCCAGTTCCCAGATGAACCCTATTACAATACTTCCTTAACCTCGAGAAATAATAATAATAATAATAATATATAAAAAAGAAACAAGAGAAGCGGATCAAGATGTGGCTCTTGTGGTACACCAGCTGGCACTTCAGTGAAACGTGACTGTGTACGTTATTTAACAAACTGGTGACGGTTGTTTAAATACCTATAATTTCATCCATGGAAGAAAAGGATTTCCTATCTCCAAAAATCCAGGGTTCTGTATGAGTAATGTATGAGTAAATACAAACACATTCATAGGCGTTAAGCCAACCTTAACCAAGATAGATTATCTTGGAAACTTTTATAAATAATGTGTGTAATGCAAGAAATGAGTAGACAGAGAGAATAGAATAATATATAAAGAAATTAACCAGTGATGTATAATATCATTTTTTTTTCAGTAATATTACTTTTTTAAGTCAAATTAGCGTTATATTTCAAAAAAAAATACCTGAAGATGTGATTTGATCTGCAGCAAATTCTACAATTTTTTTATCATTTTATTTTATCATTACTGATTACTGAGTGAATATTTAATTTTAATGGTTGATGTAGACCAAATTTAAATTAAGAAAAAAAAACAATAGACATCAAAAGTCCCGTTTCTGCAAAATTGTTTGCAATAATAACGTGTAAACAAATAACTGTTGCAACTGCACAGTTAAACCATTTAATTGAATCATACTATTACTTGTCGAAATGCTATAATACCGAATCTAATCAAAGAAAACTACATTTTCTGGTTTAATTTCACAATTCCTGGCTGGATATCCTTACAACTTCAATTACGTCTCCTATTAAAAATTAAACTAGAAAGTATTACATCCTTTTATTCATCGTCATGATGAAAAGTCATCGGAAATTTGGATACATCTAAACAACACAACATTTTGTTGCATAATAAGTATTAATCACGAACATTAAAGTTCGTTCAACTCTTTATATAATCACACTTTTTAATTTATACAAATTGGAATTACCTTAGCGAAAATTTCGCCTGACAGCATCATATAAACGCAAATGATGAAAAAAATAAGCTTATCAGAGGATAGCAAATAAAGGGTTTAGAAACGCACGATATCAGAAAATCCCTTTATTACTGTGAATATGTAACGGTAAACAAGATTGTCGAGCATCACAGTCAAAGTGGCACATATTAATAAATAGATCGTGATAGAGATCCTTAAAAACGTTCAGGACTTTAATCAGAGGTTATTGTAAAGCTGAACGTATTAGTAATTCGTAGGGGAGGTTGGGACTCGTAGGAAAATTGGCACATTTCACTCTCTTAAGTGCCTTTATTTTAAACATAATTAGTATTACAGTGTGTATACTAAAGTAAGGTTTTGTGAGTTCGATATTAGGTTCAGTGTTCAACAAAACCCAAAGTTGTAAATAACAGAGACTGATAAGATGTAGTATAAAAATTGATTTATTACGGAGTTTCGGTCCAAAGAGACAAAAGGGATTATTTTTTACGCTTGTCATTTTAGTAGCGCTATATAACTTTTGAAATTTTAAAAACGTGTATCTTATATTGGTTTGTTTTGGTTTTACACATGGCATTATTATAAAGAAATTTTTACTGGGTCAGATGTAATTTAAGTCATATAAAAATATTATTTTCGATATTCCTAGGCAAAATTAATTGTCAAATAAGTGATATTGTGATAAGCGGAAAAATACTAAGCTTAATCTAGTGATCTAAGCTGGTTGACTAAATTTTATCTATTAATCTCCTCCAGAAATTTGGTAACGTCGTTCCAAAAATTTTTAAATAAATCTGTATTAAAAAGTTTATCTTGAGATCCAATTGATAATACATAGCTAAGAAATTAATGGTGAAGAAAAATTCATATATTTGTCTCCATAGAAAAAATTATGACGTCACCACCAAATTTTGTTAGTTAAAATTTCACCTTTAACATGCAGTTTAACTGCTCTGGCCATGATTGAATCTCTACTATTTTACTAGTTGAAGATGTTTGGTTTGTGTTATTCTAAAAAAGTCTTTAAATTTTGTCCAATAAAAAATATGCGTTGATTATCAATTAACACTCAATTTTTGAGTAATTAAAATTTGCAATAGTCGTTGGTTTGTAAGCGATCTTCCTGGTATTGCTATGTGGTAAATTCAATAATTAAATTAATTAATTTACTCTAAAATTTGAACACGAAAATAAAGAACGTTTTTTATATTACAATAAAAAGGGCAATTTATTTAATAGCGATGATAAAGGTGTTAAAAATAAGTCTTCTGAGGACTGAAAATTCAACAATACAGTAATGTTTTCATGAGTGTTAATTTCACGCATCAAAATTAATTTTAAAATTAAAAAAAATTGTCATTAAATCTTTATAAAAAACAAATTCCCTCATATGCGTGGGGTATTTAGACCATTTTTTTTTATTCTTGAAGATGTTTTTGAAGAAACCTACTTTAGATTTGAAACAAGAATTTCTAAAATGACTGTATCAAAATTAGTCAACAACAAAATAGATACTAAATTATTTTTAAGTTACTAATTAAATTCCTATAAAATCAAACGTGGGAATGGTCTCACCTTCCCCTAGCCACCTATCGTCATAAGACCCTGATGATGTCCATTAGAAAAGAAACATTATTAACTGCACATTTTTCGTAACGTTTTTTGGTCCTTCGTGCCTTGCATTTCCACCTGCATCAGCTAGAGGCACTACGCGTTACGATAGGTCAGGTTCTCGGCCATGACACGAGAAGAGGTTTCACCTCTCATAGAATTGACCCTGCTCGCAAGGTGGGGCGGCATCGCCTATAAAGTCGGCATCACACCGGCGCGACTTTAGTAGTACGCTGTAAGCTAGGTCATAAAACAGGTGTGTTGTGGCAGTAGCAAACCCGATCACCACGTGTGACCTACATTCACACGACATACTAAAGCAGTGTACATTTTCGATGTGAAAGTGCCTTAAACCGAAGACTGACCCCAAGCGAGCCCTCGCGGACAAACGCATCAGTGATAAATTGTGATATTAGTTTTCTAAGTGACTACGATGCCGGCGCCGGTCGAAGAAACCCTCAACGATCAGGATCTGATCGAGAAGAACGAAATCGACGAAGTGGGCTCGCTGTCGTTCTCGCCGCCTCCGTCCAAACTCCTGGAAACCAGAGACAGCATCTCCTCCATCGACAGCGACGTGTCGTTGTCGTTCGATCGCAGTCCCGTTACCGAAGAGAACCCAGCTGAAGCCGAAGATGAAGGCGCCCACATGGCGGATTTGTCCGACAGCGCGTCCGACACGGGATCGGCCGGGGGCGGCAAGGACTCGGGCTGCGAAGTCACCCCTGAAGTGACGGAGCCGCCCTTCCAACCCCCTTCGGACGAACTCGCCGACAAGATCGTCCAGCAAGTGGAGTTCTACTTTTCGGACGCTAACATAACGAAAGACGCCTTCTTGCTCAAACACGTGAAGAGGAACAAGGAAGGGTATGTGAGTTTGAAACTGATTTCTAGTTTCAAGAGAGTTAAGCACTTGACGAAAGATTGGAGGGTGGTTGCCCATGCTTTGTCCCGTTCTACCAAACTAGAAATTAACGAAGCGGGAACGAAGCTCAGACGTTTAGACCCTTTGCCTCAGTACGACGAAACTACCCCATCACGTACCGTGGTCGCCGTCCACATGCCCATAGATAAAGCTACCATCGAAAACGTAGCGGAACTCTTCAAAGTTTGTGGCGAGATCGCTTTAATCAGGATTCTGCGCCCGGGTAATCCGATTCCAGCTGACGTGCGACAATTCATCAACAAGAATCCTTCTTTAGCCGGAGTTGTCTGCGCATTAGTCGAGTTCGTCACGTCTGAATCAGCTAGAAATGCCATCCAGCTTCAACACACCCTAGGGGAACCTATGAAGGTATACGAACTGAACAACGTTCCTCATCCTGAACGCAAGAAGAAAGCCAACAAGAAACCGAACAACAACAACGCTAACAATAACAAAAATTTCTCCGACACGGATTACATCAGCTCTTGTCAAAGTAGCTCAGAAGCGGAAGATCTAAAGAAAGGGGCAAGGCTCCGTCGGGGTTCCTCTGCTCATTTCCCCTCGAGGTACATCGAGCCGGCAGCTTGGCTCCAACGCCGCTTGTCGGCTTCAAGCACCGAGGCCAACTTCATCTACATGCCGAGACGCTTGAGCTACAGCAGCAGGGACTCGAGCGACTCGAGTTTGTTCCTTCCGCGAAGAATGAGCGCTTGCAGTCTTTCAGGCTCTGAAAACAACTACAACAGGCGTTTATCTTCGGCTAGCCAGTCTTCCGAGTATAGCAATCCGAGGTCCAGAAGCAACAGTACTGCTTTCCAGAACGGCGAAAACGTGGTGCGATTGCCACGTGGTCCTGATGGGTCCAAAGGGTTCCGACAGAGACCTTTGACGGCTATAGCTCAATGAGGAGAGGTTAGAGCATGACAGTTAGAGCCTTGATGCTGAACTTTTACTTGCCTAACGGCTAAATTCGGAGAGGGGATTGTTTTTTCTATTTTTTTATAATGGGAAAACTGTTTTGTATCTTCTTAAGCGATTTAGGACCTTGAATGATGAATGAAATTTAATTCGCGAATGCATAATTCAGAACACGACCCACTTACTTTTTTATAATGTCTAGCTTCGACTTTCACCCAAATGCGGTTTGTATTATAATAATGGTGATTATTAGCGAAAAATTTAGAAATTTCTACCTAATTGGAATTAATTTGTTACGCTTTTTACATTGCGGAAAAATGATTGGATTCTTCTGAAAAGCACGAAACTTCACTTTATTGGTTCATTTTTTTTCCTGTACTTATTATATCGTAGTTAGAATACTTTAATAATTATCTTACTTTCTACATGTGTTAATTAGGTTAATTATAGATTTAACGCTTCATTTTCTTATTCTATTGTTTTGTTTTAAAAACATTTATTATAACTAGCACCGTTGCTTAAAAAAATAAGATGTCGATAGGTCGTAAGTTATGGATTTTAAAACGTACTTTAGAATGACACGTCGACCTTGTGTAGATTTTTTATCAAAATAACTGTTTAATGTTATACACTTTTGAGGTGTTTATGCTACTTGCATGCAATCTTTGCGGAATTTTCTCCTCTAGAATTAATTTCTGATTTCTAGGTGTGTAAATTTCATTTTGTACATAAGCGTATTTATTATTTCCTTATTTATTTCGATTACTTTTTACTGTAATTGTGAAACTGTTTTGAGATGAGTGTTTTATTTATTTATTTGTTGTCTATTATAATTTGCATTAAATTTCTGGGAGAAATTGTATCGTTTTATTTGTATCAACCTAAGTGAGACAATTTATGTCTTAAAACTGGATCTAAATAAGACGCATTAATAATTTGTTTATATCTTTTACTACAAGCATAACAATCAATTACTTCACTTTCGTAGAAACCACAAATCATGTGGACTTTCGTAAATTTTTTGGTCAACTTCTTAAACAAAGATGGGTACTTGTTTATCAGAATATGTTGAAAACTGGTTTCAATATATGTATCTCTTTCATTCATAACCAAAAAAAAAAAATTCCAAAGATATCAAACTGTAAAGACACAAAATAAAATAAACTATTACAAACGATGATTTTGTATGTGTAAAATTATGTCTAAATTAACGAAAAACATTTACAATTACGTATTAACAAGAAGAAAACCAAAATTTTAAAAGTATATTATAAAACTGTATACAAATCTTCGATGATCCAGGAATCCATTATACAAAATTTTATTAGGTGACTTCATTTTATTTCCAATGAATTCCCAGCTTCGTCGTTTAGTGTTAGTATCATGATTATTCTAATTAGATGGGAGTGTTTGTTTCTACATCGTCAAATTTAGATTGCACATACACCCGCTACCTCCATTACTACCGATAACAAAAATTATATGATTGGATTGTTCGGTAAATTAAAAAAAAAGATTCAATTAACTGATGTGCTATTTTAAACATACAGTGATACATATCTTCATCGTAAAATAATTTCTTCTTTAGGTAAAAGTTCGACACAAATTGCATTGATTCGTTTCCCAAAATGTGCTATTCTCTGATATTTTGACAATTTCTCGAAGAGGTAAACAAGAAATGAAAGCCAAATTTTCAGACCACGAGATCGCCAACTTATTAGAATGTTTGTGTCCGTGGATGATACGGAATTAACAAATAATAAGGCAAGACACTGAAAGTGAACTCAAATAAGGAAAGGCAAAAAAAGAAAAAAGATGGTGTGAGTGAAGCTACGAAGGGAAAGGCCAGCGAAAAATATTTTATGTTATTCTAACTACCTGCACTAAATCTGCAGATGTTTAAATGTTTTTTATAACACTAATTATAGTCTGCTATAATACGTTATTGTCGTTTATCTTAATGGTTCTTCTGTGATGACTACATAGAAAGCATAGAGAAAAGTGGTCGCATTTAATTAATTAATAGACGAAACGCAAAAATAAATTAATACAAACACTTTTATGGTTAAGCGGAGGATTTGAAGTTCGTAAATTTGTTTCAGTAAAATCTATAAAATTTTGCTTATACACAATTTGATATTTCCTACCACCTACTTGATAAATTTAAAAAAATCTGTTTGCCTAAATATGTATTACTATTTAAAAATGTGCCTGTGACGTCACCGTGAATGAATATCTGTATACATAAAAACTATATCAAAATCTAATTTTTTTTTATTTGTATTTATTTTACAAGACTATTTGTCTTAAGTTCAACCACAAATGAAAATACGTTCTTTAAAACGTGCTACTGTGATAATAAGGTAATTGTGAAAATTACTGACATTAAAAAGGTTTTCAATTAGAAAAAACTTCTATTGTTTACGTCAACAAACGAACGCATTCGTTTTCCATTGAATTACAAGATTATTACCTTCTTGTCCTCCTTTCTCGTTGACTGTTTCTAGGCTTAAAAGACAGAAAGTTTTCGTACAAAGAAGTATATTTACTCTACTGTCATTTGGAGTTACTGTAATAATTGTTATGCCATTATCAATTTAAGATACAATGGTCCTCATTATACTGCCAAATGAACTGATATTACAATTATCAGCACAATGCAATTATTTTGTAAAATTTTTCATCCTTAATGATGTTGATTCATGAAGTTGCTATTATTTAAAATAAACTCTTTTTTTTCTATTAAAATTTTAATTTGGAACTTTCTGTGTGATGTTTCTTTATACTGTGAATAATAATTATTAATTATACAATTTTGGAGTTATTTTTGACACTTTCATTCCTCCCATCAATAATTAAGTAATTGGATTACTTGATTTTGGACTAAGTAGTCTTTCTTGGTGTTTCAAAATGTCGTATGCGGTCATTTTGTCATGCAATATCTTGTTACTTATTTATATAATTTATATTATATTGAAAATTTCACAATTTTTAAAAAACTTCCATGCTACGGTTCACTTTTTGTAAGACTGTTTTCGTTTCTTTGGTTTAACGTGGCATTATTCTACCGCTTTATCACTATGTTGCTTCTTGATCACTACTCACAAAAAAGCAACAATGAACAGTTGCTCATTTCTCTTCCCTGGCAAGATTGTTTTCAATAAAACAACATTTCCATTCTCAAGAGATAAGTCCAAAAAAACTCAACCACAATTTAACAAAAAATCCAAAGTAGGTGTTTGGTGGTCTGATTCGAAGAGTGTGAGTGTTTTCTTGTCGAATAATAAATGTGGAATAAAATTGGCCATCAACTTTCACCGTTGGCACTTCTAGTTATACTAGTTATGTGTAGTGAGGGGGTCATCGGTGCGTGGCAAACATTCTTTATAATCTCCTCCAACTTTCATCAATTTCATCATTTACTTACACCACGCCACAGTCAAGTTCAACGTTTTGCGCTTGACATTGCAGAATCGTTCGCTTGGAAAAAGAGAAACGTTCTGTTACGAGCTCGCTCTGCATTCATAAGCCCCACACACCATTTTATTATACTGTTTTCCGACATTTTCTTGCAATTAGGACTTTATATGTAATTACTTGAAACGAACTATGAAGCTAATTATTTGTTCTTCACGAGGTACATAATTTTTCTACTGAAGCGTTAAATTTAGCGTCCTCTCTTTTTACGTTCTATAAAAAGATATCCGCAATGGTGGCTTTAGTTATGTATTGAATGAAATAATAGTCAAAAATCAGCGCTATTATGAAATGTTCCAGATTGTTTAGCAGTGGACCATAACAAATGTAACAAAAATGATAGTACCGCTAGTCTTCTTTCAGTGACGATTTATTTAAAAAATAGTGAACAGGTTCTCTAGCCACAACAGTACATAGATTACCATTCAAATTAGAATTTATAAGGTTGTCACTTTTGATAATAATAATAATAATTAAGAAGATAAACCTTTTAATACAGATTGTGGTAGCTCAGCGGTTTATTGATAATAAGCAAACAATACAAAGCAAAATATGGGTATGGGTTATCGAAGTGGTGGCAATTCTCGTCGGGGATGGTGGCGGCTCCTGGGACTCAGAGCGTCGTAGGGGATGACGGCGGCGATGTATGTAGCACAGGGCACCTGGACAGTGCGACCCTGGAGATGACGACGTCGGCGGTGCGGCACAGGAGACCTAGAGAATGCGACCCTGGAGATGACGACGTCGGCGATGCGGCACAGGGGACCTAGAGAGTGCGACCCTGGAGATGACGACGTCGGCGATACGGCACAGGGGACCTAGAGAGTGCGACCCTGGAGATGACGACGTCGGCGATACGGCACAGGGGACCTAGAGAGTGCGACCCTGGAGATGACGACGTCAGCGATACGGCACAGGGGACCTAGAGAGTGCGACCCTGGAGATGACGACGTCGGCGATGCGGCACAGGGGACCTAGACAGTGCGACCCTGGAGATGACGTCGTAGAAGCGGCGCAGGGGGACCGTAAAACAGTGCAGCCCTGGTGAAGATCTCGAAGCAGCGCAGGGGACCGTAACACAGTGCAGCCCTGGTAATAATATCGAAGCGGCGCAGGGGACCGTAACACAGTGCAGCCCTGGTGATCACCAGAAGGGGACCGAGACAGTGCAGCCCTTAAGGTGGAGATGGTGGAGTTCCATCTGTACGGTGCTCACCAGAAGGGGACCGAGACAGTGCAGCCCTTAAGGTGGAGATGGTGGCGTTCCATCTGCCTGGAAAGCGTCCGAGTTGCCCTTTTATAGGCAGGGTTGAAATGCGTGGGAGTACCTGCACAATGAAGTAACTTCAGGTGGGGTGCGTTCCAGTGGGGGTGAGCTTGGTGGGGTTGATATCGGCGCTGCCGAGGACAGCGCCCTCGAAAGGGTACTAGCGGAGCGCTTTGAAAGCTCCGCTACAAGATAAATTTGTAATAGAGTGGCATAAAATTATGTGTTATGTTTTTGACATAACACATGTGTAATTTTAAAAATACAGGAAACAAATCTTATCGTGGGCTTATCAAGCGCCTATAATTTCACGAACCAAATCGTTCCAATAAATACCCACTTTAGTTAAGCGGGGTTTAAACAATTATCGGCCTCATTAATTCAAATGTATGAGTATGACTTAGGTGATAATAATTTTCCAGGAATAATCATTTTTCATAATTGCTAGCATTAATTGTTACAAAGAAATTTTTAAATAATTTCATAACTCAGTTGTAAAAAAGTCTCTAATAGAATCTGCATCTGTGTGTTGTGACAATGTTTTCTGTGTTTCTTTAGGATCGTGGAGGGAGAAATAATCAAGTGATTGATTGTAGATGTACATTGTGTGGCATTCAAAGTCTGCGCTTAGGTGAATCACCGTGTATATATGTCACCTTTGTCGTCACAAATGTTATCATTTGAACTAATATTATAATTTAAAGTTAAATAACGTTAAAAATATCGAAAAAAGTTCTATAAATCGCCATAAACTTTATAAAATTCACTCTAAAGTGAGAGTGCAAAAATGATACCGTTATTTGGTACAAACTGCACTTGTTCAGTTGTCCTACTGTACACCTTCTTGTAAAGCAGTTGAAACTTTTTATCACACACTTGTTTTTTTAATGGAAGAACGGTAAACTGTTAAATTATAAGACCACTTTCTACATAAATAACAATGCAAATATCTTACAAGCATCAACCTGAATTTAAAAACATGGTATCTTCGCAATATTTTATTCCTTCTTTTGCACCGAACTATTTGTGAAATAAATTCAGTAACTCAAAAACTGCCGTTTACTTTCATAAACTGACGTTAACAATTTTTAAATTTGTACAACAAAAATATTATTAACTTTCACAAGAACTTCGCAGAACTAACATGGTACATCGATTAAGGATGACAAAGGTTTAAATCACGCTAATAGACCTGAACCACAAATTTATATCCAATTATGTTCTTTGGTTTATTGATTTTTTCGAATAATGAACGGTCAGGTTATAAAAAGAATCTACTTTAATACAATTTCCTGAAACGTTCAAACACGAAAGTTTGTATGAGTTTTTACTTACATTGTTGGCGTTATTCATTAGTTTTTGATTTACGAGGTCACATGTATACAAAGTGTTTTAGCTAAGATTTATGTTCACTTATAACTTCTCATTATTTAAAGAAAAACATTGTTACAATACCATATGTCATACAAATTTTTTTTGTAACAAATTTTTAAATGAAATTGTTACTACGTTGTTTAAACTTAAGCGTTTTGGAATTCTCAACAACTAGAAAAGAATACAAATAATTTCAAAATTATTGTATGCATTTTTCGAACAAATAAAATTCAGTAACATTACGAAAATTTTAAACGGCCTGGTAGGATCTGTCTGATGTTATGCAACCCAACACACATCACAATAACCATTTCAAATTCTGAAATTTACTTACTTATCAATGTTACATACTTAGTTCAAATTAATTTTTCACACACAATCTGAACTAGATTATTAAATTAACACCTGTTTTAAAATATCACTCCGTTCTGATTTTTTTTGTACAAATGTTTATAATCTCCAAAAATAATGATGTAATCTCTTTGGCGTCGCGACCTTTAGTTTGAAAAACTCGGTTTTAGGCCATTATGTGTTATTATTACGTATTATTCTGTTATTTATTTGTGCTTTTGTGTGCACAGTACGTTGAAATGTACATAAAACGTACACCTGAACACCACTAAAAATTCCAGATAAATGTCAACACTGTACGTGTTCAATATTATGTTCAAAATCAACCCAAAAATGTTTATCGCCTATGTTAGCTTACGTAATTCATGCATTAACCTTTCGCGAACTTTACATAAACGGAAGTTTTTCAAATTTTGTGTCTCATTGGAAAATAAAATTTTATTTTTACTAAATTGTAAATGAAATATGAATGAATAACAGAAATACAAATGATTTTTGTTCAGAAAATAAAAAATAATTATAAGAACTAAAAGTAAACATTTATTTATAATCTTCTCAAATCCAGACATAAATCTACAAATAATTTTTCACGACTTTGAAGATCCTGGTTGAGGTTCATTTAAGCTGCGTAAAATTTCTTCATTGTACCTTTTGGCTCTGATGGTCTTAAAATTATCTCTTTTGGGTTCTCTAACAGTAGTTTGCTGGAGTCTAGCAAGCTGATTCTTGATTAATTCAACTGAGGATAATCCCTCAGGAATATGAACATATCTAATATTCCTAGAACTAACATAAAAATCTTTAAATTTATGCACACGTCCCTGTGGATCATAAAATATAACCGACGCCATTTCCACATTCATCTGACCATCTACATGTTTTATTAAACCTGTCACGCTACTTTCGTTCCGTAAATCAATCAGAGTGTGTTTGTTTTCTAGAGCTTTAACAAGTACAGTCAGGTAGTTATGGAAATGGTACTTCTCACTTCTCGAACCAAAGTCTTGCATTTTAACCCAACTGAAATAGAAGAGCGATTATTAACAATTTTGGTCAAAAATTAACCACAACCGCACCTGATAGTATCAGGACATTAATTAACACAAATGGAGAATTAAAAAGACTTCTAGTTTCAATTATAACTCTTGGGCACTTTTTCATCAGTTTTTAATTATTTGTTGTGTTTATTAAATGCTTCGACAGTTGACAGTAGTTCAAATGGTTGCACGTGGGTCGCACTGACACTACTAAATCACCTGATCCGTAGTTCTGAAGTGTCAACTTCATTTCGCTAATATGCAGCCAATAATACCCTCTAAATTGCTATTAAATTTTTGATTTGTATTAAAAAATTGTTTATAATTATCTTCCAAGCAAAACTGGTAAGTTCGTGATTTTTTTGCGTTGCGTAAATAAAACTTGTTACATTTGAACGACTATAAAACAGGTGCAAATGAATAAGTACACAACGGTTTCATAAATTTCCGTACTAAATATTTGACGAAAACGTTTATTGTGTCCATAAATTGATAAAAATAAAGGTGATAAATCTTGTAAGTTCGTTGTAAAAAAGGCAGCAAAATTTTTAAGCCGTTATGTGGAGGTACATTGCTGGTACAATCGCCGTAGGTTCAGTAACGTACAGTTTATAGTGAGTAATGGGTGTTGTTAACCTTACTAATAATTTATAATTGTATTTTTTGCAATTTAAGTCGATATTTTGCTGGAGGCGTGTGTAAGTGCCCCACAAGATTAGACGGTCTAGTTGTAGTTGTTACAGGTGCTAGTTCTGGAATTGGCAAAGCTTTGGCTCTAGAACTAGCTCAGAGAGGTGATCAGATAACTATTGAAATTCGTAACGAAACACGTAAATTGTAGGTGCGACCATAGTTCTCGCCTGTAGAGACATTGAAAAAGGAATAAATACGAAGAGGGACATTTTGGCAAAATTAAGCAACAAAAACGTGAAAATATTTGTCAAGCCATTGAATCTTGCATCAATCGCCAGTATTATAAAATTTTCTGAAACTTTGAAGTCGGAATTTGACGAGATTTATGCTTTGGTTAATAATGCAGGGATATATTATCATCCACATACGGTCACAGAAGATGGGTATGAAATCACATTCCAGACAAACTATTTAGGTACAGGTATAACTAGTTAGTGGTACTGTGACTATATTATTATTTTTAGGTCATTTCATTTTGACACATAATCTGCTGGGTTTACTGAAAAAGGCAGATCATTCTCGAGTTGTAAACGTCACATCACAAGCCCACAAACAAGTAAACTCGTATGATTTGAATGCTATTGCCAAATCTCAGACTGAGTTCCGATCTCACTCTGTTGCTTATGGAGTGACAAAGTTGGCCCTAATTCTATTTACTCGTTACTTATCCAAAAAACTACTAAGTAAGTTTTAGTTAGTCAAAAAAAATTAATACATTATTTTTTTTTTTTTAGATACAAATATAATTGTCAATGCAGTTGATCCAGGCACGACCAAGACAGACCTTCTTCGCCATTCTCCATACACTAATAATCAGTTTTTGTATGTTCTACAGTGGCCTATTAGGGTTCTTTTAGCCAAAAGTCCATGTCAAGGGGCACAGTCACTTTTACATTGTCTTTTAACATCTAATAGATCCACTGGACAACTTTATACAGACTGCAAATTAACATTACCAAGTGCTTTAGCTTCAGATGATAAGTTGGCACAAGACTATTATGAGTTAACTATAGAAATATTAGACAATAAGTTCAACACTGAGTCAGAGTGCTAATTACAAACATGTGGATCTCACCTGATGGTAAAATTCATAAATTAGTAATAGTAGAAGGTACTTGGGGTAAAAAACCATCAGAACAGACTGAATGTGAAATATTAATCTCAAAATGTCCAGAGTCTTTTCTAGAATATAACAATTCCATGGTAGTAGTAGGTGATAGTGATAACTATGTAAGACGCACATTAGACTTATGTTTAAGTACAATGAATGAATCAGAAACCGCTAAATTTAAAATAATGCCTGAAAATATATCATTTGTTGTTACATTAGTGCATATCAAATTTAGAGGCTACATCCACACGTGGAACGCCAAAAAGAAATTTGAAATAGCACAAGAACACAAAGAGAGAGGTGTAACTTTGTATAAACAAGACAGAGGTAAAGACGCCGCCTATCGTTTTGTTAAAGCTTTAAAAATAATACATTCAATACCAATTAATGCTGAAACACCACCTGACGTGATTGATAACATTCCAGTGAGTGATATTAAAAAACTAAAAGCGAATTTATACAATAATTTAGCTTCGTACTATTTAAAAAAAGGAGCGTGGCAGCTTACTATAGACACATGCAAAAGAGTTTTTGATTATGATGAGGATAATATTAAAGCGCACTATAAGCTTGCAGTGGCATTAATCAAAGATCGAAATTTCGAGAGAGCCAAAAACGAGTTAGATATTGTTTTAGCTGCTGAATCTGATAATAAAGCGGCGATCGAACATATGAAATACGTTAAAGAACAATTACATAATGCCGAAGTCAAGTATAACTTGATGGTGAAGAAAATGTTTGCCTAATTTATAGAATCGTGCCATGATGCTTGTTTTTTGTACTAACACAAGTTTTTATTTTTCTTACAAAGTGTATGCCAATGTATAAATTTTATTCTTAATAATAAACTTGCTTTTGATTCAGTCTGATCTCTTCAAACTTAACCTAAACAGTACTAATGTTCAAAGTTTAAAAACAAAGTAACTACAGTGAACATTAATAACTAGATATAAATCATGTATTTTATTTTTTCTTAACAGCTACTATAATAGTTATTTATGTACCAAGGGCACAAAGAAGATGTTTATATTCGAGGGCAACGTTTACAAAATCGAGGGCCTCTGGCCCGAGATTTTGTAAGTTGCCCGAGATTTATAAACATCAAGTTGTGCCCGTGGTGCATACAAACTTTTATTTTTCACGAGAAAATCTAAAAAAAAAAACACTAATTTATATAATTAATTCGTAAAAAAAAATTTACGTGGCGTTGATTTTGTTGTCAAGGAGATTCGATGTTTATTGCAAACACGGCGTCTATTCACGGTGTCAACACGTATATTTTCGACCGCGGAAATGAATGAGGAAAATTGTGACATTCCAGAAACCATTGTGAAGAAAGCGCAAAAAGCCAATGAAAATGTGTTACCTGGAACATCGGAATCCATATATGAAAAAGAATACAAAATTTTCCTTAATTGGAAGATTAAGAAGTGGCTTACTTCCAAGAATTGGTGAGTTATTCTGTTTATAAAATAATTATTTAACTGTGTTCTTCATTTTTAGTCAGAAAAATATTCACCCAGTTCCTTATGGTGAAAATACTCGATGGTCAAGACAACTTTAAGAGTAAACGACAACATAGACATTTTTAATTATCATCGTTTGACATATTTCTATAAAAAACCCAAAAGGTTATGTGGCAAAAAAATCCCGAGTTTTGACTGGCGAACAAGTCATGCAATTTCTAAAAGATGCTTCCGACAACAGATATTTACTTCAGAAGGTAAACTAAGTTATTTTTTGATGACTGTAATTAATTTAAATACGAATGTTTTATGCAGTAAAGGTAGTTGGAGAATGAGTGAACACAATTCTAGATATTTGTATAATACTTTATTCGGTGCTAGCAGAATGGAAGCAGAGGCAGAAATAATTCCAATAGAGGCACCTCCGAAAAGTTTAAGTTTACCTGAATAGTTTGCTATGAATAGCAAGTTTGTAAATTGTAATTTGTATCTTCGTTATTAAATAAATTGTCAAAAAATAAATAAGTAGTTAAAAATAAACAATATTTTTTTTTAATTTTTGTTTAATTCTGTTTAGCAAAATAGGGCATAATAACTCTTTATGCCCGCTCATTGTGCCCCGGATATAAGATGCCGCTTTACGTTTATCAAATCATGGATATAAAACAAACATTATATACGAGTGAAAAATAAATACATTTATTACGTTCATAGAACATAAAGTGGAATTACAAATATTACAAATATTTTTTTCAATTTAAGCGGGGTTTTTTCTCTGGAGGGGGTTTAATTTTCTCTTGAGAACTTTCCGTTTTCGTTTCTTTTTCTGCTGTACCATTTTCGACGCCAGTCTTTGCAGGAGGTGCCGGCGTAACCTTTGGTTGAGGAGGCGTTGGTAGAGGAAACTTTTTAATAAGTTCACCCAACAACATGTCAACTCTTTGCCTCTGAAAAAGAGAGCTAGGTTCCTCCCGTGGTTTCTCATCTTTATTTTTTTTATCTGACGATTTTTGTGATTTAAAATCCCATGAATATCCTTTACTGGGGTGATATCGAGCAAAACTTGCAACTTCTTCAAATGAGGATTGTAAGTGGTGAACTGTGGATAACTGCAAAAATCATCTGACATTAAGATGTTAAAGTCTACTCAAAAAATATACCAATCGAGAATTTAAAACACTTGCTAAGTCTGGTGCTTGATACACAACACCTGCTATAATATAATAATCAGCTATAGGTGTGGCTTGTTGAGGAGTATGTCTGTGTTGTTTCCTAATTACATACAATATGGGTTCTTGGACATGGAGCAAAACATATTCCAAACCAGTCATATTCCTAAAATAAGTTATAACATGACTTAAGTTACATTATAATTACAAGAGAGTTTACTGGAGTTGATCAGGCGTCAAACGTTGCATTTTTACAATCTCATTATTGCAAGTTCTATCAAAAAATGGGTTGGAACGTTCTGAAAAATAATCCATTACATTTGATGTGTTGAGAATGGGGATCCAGGCTGAATCATGCCACGAAAGACTTAGAGGATTCTCTGGAATACCAGGAACCATGCCCAATCTACCAGGCATCATAGCCATTTCTTGTCAGCCTAAAAATAACTAGTTTTAAGGAATTTCGAGATTGATACTGAAATTAGAAATTTATACTAAAACAGAATTATCAAGTGTGTTTGAATATTGTAAATATAATAATAGGTAAGGAGAAAGAGCTATAAATCTGAATTACCTTGATTTAAATATCTGTTTAACCAGGTGTTTAACTCGTTTAATTGTTCAAAATTGTGGAGCAAACAATCTGACGTTTATTTTTGTTGCTAATGACATAACCTCACTTTATTTCTACCTCTACTTTTCAACAATTTACATATACCTATTCAGAATAAATATAAATTTTAAATTGGTCTCTAATTAACACTATTAAATATCGTTATGTATTTCGATTGGAGTTGAGTAATAAGTTGAAACAATCTTATCGTAAGATATAACCTCAAAATGTAAAGTGTGAACAAAAATTATGTAAAAATTCAGTTTTCGGGTTACACTCGAGTAACAATGCTTATTTATAGTAGCTCAGAGGTAGAGGTACGGGTAAACTTTTACATTAATCATGACTCTAGTGTTTATAATTTCAGATGGATTTGTCAGTGGTCCCTTTACACCATAATAAAAAATATATGTCCAACTGCTGTAAATTGATAAATGATGAATGGAAACGAAGCGAAACTGCCCGAATGCGTAGCTTAGAAAGTTCTTCAGATAAACTGCCAACTAGTTTAATTTTGTTAAAAAATGAAGACGTTATCGGACATTTAAAACTTTCTCCTGTGCCTAGCATACCAGATGCCTGCTTTGTAGAATCTGTTGTAATTGAAAGGGGATTAAGAGGGAAAGGTTTTGGAACTGTATTAATGGAAAAGGCAGAGGCTTATTGTAAAAAGTGTCTGCAATTAAAAACAATTTATTTATCAACAAAAGGACAAGAAGGATTTTATAGTAAACTGGGATATATGGAATGTCAACCTATCTCTATATATGGAAACTACACACCAACTAGCACCACAAACCATAAAATTATGAATGACTGTAACAATAGTAGGCATGGTGTACCAAAACCACCTCCCATGCCTTCATTTCAAGTTAACAATAAACACAAAACGTACATGAAGAAAGAACTAACATAGTACAAATTATATAAAAAAAAATGCGATTACTGCCATAAATGAAGTGCAAATATTTTTTTTTAAAAAGGAAATAAAAATACTTTTAACACTGATAACGCTGTGAATCACAAACCTATCAGTTTTTATCATGCGTCAATAAACTTAAGATTATATAATTGGCAATGACTATCACTTTGTGTTGTTTTTTTATTCCTATGGTCCCACTTTACAACGCCGCCATAATTACCTCCAAGGAACTAATCCTTTGTACTTATACCACATATTTTACCAAAGTGTTCTGGCTGTAAAAGACAATCAACCAAAAATCTCCCAAGATCATGTTTCGAGATAACGCGTCGTCCAGGAGTTGCATCATGTTTAACTTCATAGTCAGAACCCGGTTGATCTAAAATTTGTAATTGTAACACAGTCAAAATTTACTCTCTTCAACAAACCAGCAATATGTGGCGGCAAAATTGCAATGTACTTTAAATCTGATTCTTTTATCAAATCAAACTGCCTTTGATGCTCAGCATTAATGTCTCTAAACATCACAGGTACTTTGTCTGAATCCAGAAATAAAAATGCAGACAAACATACTGATACAATCTCTACATTTGATTCCTTCATGGCTTTTATGATATTTTTCAGACCTTCACTCAGTACTGTTGTGGGTTTTAAATCATTGCGTGTTCCCAGAACAACGACAACGCCGTTAACCCCTTGTATGGCTTTAGAAACATCACTGTAGTTTAAAACATCACCTTGAACGACTTCCACGTTGTTCTGCAAGTTTGTAGGAAGTTTTGCGGGGTCTCTCACAAAAGCTCTGACTTGGAGGCCTAAATGACGCTGCATTAATTGCTATTCTATGATTTTTGTTTTTACCTTTTTTGAGTGCTGCTTCGACTGCACAAAGGCCGGTCATTCCCGTTGACCCAAAAATTACAACTTTTTCCATTCTGGAATTCGGATGAATTGTAAAAAAATATTTATCGTTGGCAGTGATACAATTGTTCAAAGCGGTTCAAATGACGTGCACTTCTGTGCCGATTTATTAATCACTTCAATTTTGAGCACGGTGGTAGAAGTAAGGTGTGGAAACAAGCCGCTCCAATTTGTTGAATAAAACACGCATCCCAGTAGGCTTATTTACTACGAAATAGTATGCAGCACAGTATGTCCATCTATGTATTAACATTTCAACTTGTCCGTGTATTTATGAATGAAATAAGTGACAGATTCGTTGGAGGGAAAATAAATCACAGCACTACGGTTTGTGGTTGGTCTTTGGTATGAATCGTGTGATTGGTAGATGATTCGACATTTGTGATTGGGTAATAAATGATATTGGCATAAATGTCAAACATTTAATACAGTTTTCTATTACTTAATTTCAACTGATCTCTCTAGACGTCGCTGCGGTGTGGACAGATAATGACATATAATCCAAACCACGCGATTTGTGTTTTCTACCAATGATTTTGAGGAAAGTTATGAATGAGGTTTCCACACCTTACTTCTACCACCGTGATTTTGAGAATAAACAAACGTCGAATGTCATTGTATTAGATCGAATGTCAAATACACCGAAATATTTTTAACAATAAAAAAGTGTGTTTAGCGTTGATGTAATTATAATTCTGCACTGAAATTATTGTAAACCAAATTTATTCGATGAAAATGCGTATTTACTTGTTTTTTTACTTAACTGTAAACTTAGATTAAATAGTTGAATTTAAGTAATAATTATTTTGTATAATGGGAAATTACGAAATCTGTCAATTTCGAGGTCAATTCCGTGCATTCATTCGCTAAAAAAATAACTATGATAACAAATTGTCATGTCATACATAGCAGAAGTGAAAAGTATTCCATCCTGTTTTACACTTATTAGTGATAGTGACGTGTAAAAATGACTTCAGAAGAAATTTTCGCAAAACTAAAATCAAACACAAAAAGTACCTGCGAAGAAACTATTCGGATTTTAGTAAAAATTGCTGACAATATCTTAAATAATCCAACTAACCTAAAAGTAAGGTCGCTCCAAAAAAATAATTCTACAGTCCGGAATAAAATTCTAGCGATTCGGGGTGGTGCAGAATGTCTGAAGTTAATGGGCTTTCAAGAAGTAAAGGAATTTCGTTTTCTTTTATCCTGATTTTTTTTTAATTTTTTTTTTAATTTTCAGAATGACACCAGTTTTACACTACCTCCTAATAATTCTGTAGACACTCTAGAAATAATCAAAAAAGCCTTGTTAGAATTAAAAATGAGTGACACACAAAGTAAGGGAGCCATTCCAAAGCAGAAGGTAAGATTTTTTAATTGCCTAAGTTTTTGCACTTTTAAAATAGAACCTAATAACGCACGGTAATATTTGAACATTGTGCTTCAATTCCTTCTTGAAATTGTAACATTATTAATAAATATGTGGCTGCAGCCCCAGCAATCTGTAAAAAGAAAATATTACAATGAAAATAGTGGTATGTATTTAATTTTTACAGTGAAGATGAGTGAAGTATCAATGGAAAATAGCCCACAAGCTGTAAATTGCAGAGGTCTGTGACAAATTTGTTGAGAAAATATCATCAGCTAAAAATAAATAATGAATGAGCGATTTTTGTTATCAAAATTGAAAAATACTTTTCTTTTTATGTAAGGGTCATATTCAATCATGAGTACTTTATGGATTGCTAATCCTGCGCTTTTACTCTGAAATATTATTTAAAAAAAAAGAGTTGTTTGCTTTATGGTGATTACCTCTTTGCATGTTAAATGACAAGTGATTGTTACTAAAAACACTTCAAGAGTTGTCCATAATGTCCACATTGACCATATCAAGGCAGAAACTTTATTCTTTAAAACCTAAAATATATTGTTTTAGTGTTTCCGATTGTTTCGGTGAAAACGCTTACCAAAATTTCGTAATACACGTAAAAAATAGTAAACACCTCAGTCAAAAATTGCGCAGTAAAGCAACTCAATATTTGAATAGTAAATGTATCATTTACTTTATTTCCTACGTCAGTTAAACAGTCATGAAGTTCCATTAAAAGTTCGATTCTTTTAAGTCCATGTTTCAGTTGATATTCTTGTGAAACTTTTATTTTAGTCAAATTTTCTGACATTTTTTCTTCAATCAAGTGTTCCAAGAGTTTGTTAATTAGGTTAAATCTTTCATGTAAAAGCTTAACCAATAAAACGAAATTGTTCTGAATTATGTAAGAAACAAACGATGGATATGAAAGTATGAGGTGAGGAGTCCCATTTGTTGAAAATACACTTTTACTCATATACAAATGCGTGATCACGGCTCTTCCTAAAATTGCACCGCAACCGACCAAAATAACTACCACTTCGTACATAAAATGTGTATTGTAGTTTATGGTTTCTCCTAAGTCCTGAAAAACTGCATCAATTTTCTTAATATCCTCTATCGAAGACAGTACGTTGACGCTTTTTGAGATATTCACAGTGTATATAACGTATATTAGTAAAATTTGTGCCAGAAGTTGAAATATAATTCCGATTTTCGATACTCCTGAAGCGTAGCTGGAGTGAAGTTGCTGTGTTTTAAAGTCGGAAACAGCACGATAAATTAAGTAGGTAAATAAAGAAATGTATATAATATTTAAGATTCGTAGTATGTTAAAAATTTTTAATTTACGGATGTTATTTTGGGTTGTTGTGAGTATTGATGATAGACCGAAACATGCTGTTGTGAATAAAATGGGAAAAACAGCGTCGTAGATATCACGGATATGCATGGTGGTAGAGACTGTAGAAAATTAAATATACCCAACACTACATTTTTTTAGATAGGTTTTCATGACTGAGATTTTATCGCCTATGCTACATTAAATTTGATATTCATCTCATTCATAACTAATGGATTCATTTGATTTAATGTGCTTGGTAGATAGTGTTGGCAGTAGCGGCTCGTCAAGGACGGTATTTAAATATATGGCAGGATAACAAAAGGGCGCTATTTTCAAATAAATTAATACTACATTTAATAGACATTTTATTTCACCATGCTGAGTCATTGGCTTCCGTATTCTGCTAAATCATCGTCATCTAACGTAATTTTTAGTCCCAATTAACAATTTTAAAACAAGGAGAAAACAAAAAGTAAAACGCATTTTTTTGTTTTAAAATTATGTAATCAATTTTTTTCTTAAAGAAAAAATATTTGCTAAAAGTGGACTTGTAAATAAGGGTTTCATTGTGGTCATTGCTCGAACCACGAATCGCCACTGACTACTAAATAAACGTGATAAATAATAAAAATATTGAGTAATAGCATTCATGATTCTTTATTGTTCGTTTTCCTAATTAAGTTAATTTTGTATTTACAGAGTGAGATCGCTTCGGTTAATAAAGACCATCGAGAAAATAATGATGATTTGAAGGATGTCAAGAGATTTGTATTACCCCCATTTTCTCCGGTAAGTTAATGACATAATTGTGGCTTTTGAATAAACAACATTGAGCACGGTAAATAAAATTACCCACCATTAATGAGGCTTTTGTATTTTGTAATTCTGGTATAGCTAAATAGGCAAATTTGTTGTGCTCACAATGCAAGAAATGACATTTGTACCGACGAACATAATTGATGAATTATTAATTAGCAGACGTAGAAAATATGTTTCTAAACAATACAACATAGTAAATGAAGTTGACTGGCCCAAGCGTTTTTAGAAATTTTTATTCTTACTGTTTTTTTTTTCGAATTTTACAGATATAATTATAGTTCTCTGTGTACTACATATTAAAAAAGACAAACCACACATTGTAGTGCTCTGATTTTTGTATAGTTTTTTCTCTCTATTAACAAATTTGTTTCTATTTCTATGAAAACAAACTCGTCTTGTTGGAAACACACGTTGTAGGAGTTATTGTTTCTTGAAACTGAATCATAATAACAATAAAAGTTGTTGAGGATCCAATCATCTACAATTTTTGGTTATTAATTTTCATAGCTAGTAAATTAACAACAAACGTTAAATAATAATCCTGCGTCTATATCGAACAGGCCACAAACAGTAAATTTGAAGTTGCTGTGGACCACTTGTTGAGAAAATATCAATAAACTTTCTTGAATTACTTCGTTTCTCGTCGCTATCAACACTTTGTGTATTTTTCGCCCAACCATTTTGGCCTGTTAATGTTAATTAACGTGTTGTTAAACGATTCATACTTACTTCATCGCTTGCCAAGTGACAAGAAATTGCAACGTGAAGTATTTCATAGATTTTGTAAAAACCCCAAGCTAACCAACAAGATGCTGAAAATGGTTTGGATGTAAACTAGAAAAGTATCAACAATATAAGAATTCAAAAAATCACAAAGTGTGGTACCATCCAGTAGAAGTAGAAAATGGAGTACAAAGCTATAAAAAATTGGTGGACTAAAGCAGGTACCATTTGAACATTGTAGTTTAAGTTTGTCCTGTTGGCACACCAACATAAAATTTCGTGAATTTTTGTTAATGTAGCAATGTTTTTTAAAATTTTTACTTCACGTTTGGTATCCAGCAGTACTGATGAATTAATTTTGTAATAAAGTACATAGTACAATTTTGCAAATTACTTACACGTCGCTTTTGTGTGCATGTGCAATTTTGTTAATTGAGATTTCATTTTCTCTAGTTCTTTATTAATCATTTTGAATCGAAGATAAATAAGTGTGGCTGTAATTGCAAACTGACTGTTCGTGTCATATAAAACGAGTAACGGATAAAGAAATAAAAACCACATGTGTAAAGACAGAGGAGGAAATTTCTCAATTCTGATATTGTACATTTGCATCGAAGCTATTATCACAACTATAATTAATCCTGAAAGAATAATTAATACCTGATACCAAACATTGTACTCGTAGCGAATTTTGTGATTCATTTTCTTGAGCTTGTCGTCGACTATGTTTAAATTTTCCATAACTTCCCTTGCATGTTTCGTGTGTACAAAACTCATGAAATAAATAGTGTATAAAATAACAATTTCAAAAATGAATACCATGGTTAGTCCGAAATTTGAAACCTTGTTGTGTTTTTTGTAAAATTTCCCTCCTACGACATTGTTAGATCTCCGTAGTATTGTAATAATGAAACAAATTGAGTAAATTATTAAGAAAACAATTGTTATCAAATGCAATTTTTTTGAAGTTTGGAGTACGTATTTTCCGGATTTTTTAACAGGAAAGGTAGGAAAAACTCCTACTATTGTTGAGAAAGCAAATATGGGAAGCATGCTTTCATAGAAGTGATTGGGAGTTTTGAACTGAATCATTTTAAACTTTTTAACTATAAGCAGTGAACAATGTCACTAAAAGTTTAAGAATAACGTTGTTTTAAGCTTATTGTTATCGGAACGATCAGTTTATTAATGTGATACCGTTGTGATAAATTTACATGTCATGCTTATAATCGTATCGATTTCGGTAATAACAGTAACATTATGTCAAGAGTACTGAACATGAAGTGTACATAATCGTCGTAAATTAAAATAATCTGATGTCCTTTGTTTCTTGATTTGTGCTCCAAAATTATTTAGGTATGTTCTAAGGACCACCAATGAGGCAATTATCAGATAAAAAAAGTATCCACTGAACGTTTCATTGTTTAGACCTCACTGTTGTAAATTTTATTGTGTTTTTGAGTTTATTACACGTGTTAAATGTTGCATTACAAATTTTAGAAATTTTCCAACCAATTCCTACGAAGGATAGAAACACAATTCCATCACGCCTTAGCTTTTGATGACAAGGATTGCCAAAAGCGTGCCAAAAAATTAATACCACTCGATCGATTGGAAATCAATGCACAAAGAAATTTAAGATATGTGCAGACTAAAATTAAAAAAGGTACTATATTATTCAGTTAAAGACAAATTTCATAGTTGTTTTTCTGTGTACAGAGAAAATGCAAGACCCGGAATTTTCTATCCAGGATATGCTACTCATAGAATTATTAACATGGTTTAAAGAGGAATTTTTCTCCTGGGTTGACACCCCTCTTTGTAATAGTTGCGGAGGAAAAACTGTGATGTCCCACATGAGTTCAGATCGTGCAGATCTAGTGTACACCAGTAGAGTTGAAGTAAGACTTCAAAATTCACTAAAAAATCCAATAACAATTTTCGTGCGTATTTAAGGTGTACAAGTGTCCGTCTTGCCAACAACCTACCAAGTTCCCACGCTACAATGACCTAAACATTTTATTGGAAACTCGTAGAGGTAGATGTGGCGAATGGGCTCAAGTTTTTACGTTGTTGTGTCGTTCTTTAGGATGGGACGCTCGATATGTAGTTGACGAATTAGACCACGTTTGGACTGAAGTATGTAATTTTCGATTAATAATCCATATTACTTGTTTTGTTTTAGGTTTATTCTATTACGCAAAAAAGGTGGGTACATTGTGACTCCAGTGAAAACGCTTGCGACACGCCATTAATGTATGAAAGTGGATGGAATAAGAAATTAACCTACGTTATTGCATACTCTCCTGAAGAAGTCCAAGACGTAACTTGGCGTTATTCAAGTAATCACAAAGAACTTCTTACTCGCAGAAAAAATTGTTCAGAAGCAGAACTTATTAAAGCCTTGCTTAACCTACGGGCTGAGAGGCAAAAATCATTTTCTAAAATCAAAAACAATTATCTGAATAGAAGGTTGATTAGTGAATTAGTTGAATTAATGGTAGAGAGAAAACCGCTTGACAATGAAAAGCATGGTAGAATTTCTGGTTCAAAGGAATGGAGGACCGCGAGAGGTGAAGCTAAAGATGAAAACATGTATGTGTGGAGAATAGGCAATAAGCATATTGTTAACAATAAAGTAACTATAAAATATTGTACAGCGTTAAATGTGTATGAGTTTGTGAAGGGTGATGATAGTGTTATTACAATAGATGAATGGAATTTGGGTGTTTTTGATTATAGTAGTGTCTTTAGAAAGGAAGAAAAAGATTGGGATACTGTATATTTAGCCAGAAGTGGTAAGATTTTTTACTTTGTTTTGTGATTATCAGGATTAGTGTGTGAATATTCGTAGAAGGTTCGGATCAAGGGAGTATATCGTGGAAATACGAATTAGAAAAAGACACTACAAAAGTCATTGATAGTGTCTCTTTAAAATTCGGCCACCAAACGTACGAAACTGGGAAAGTCAAAGTCGCTCTTGTATCGGATGACATCACGCTAGAATTTCCAGAAAGTAATTCGCAAATACTTGAGTGTGGAAATAGACTTTTTTGTTTACGTTGTAGGTGACACAAATTTATCAACTCAACAACTTTCCGGAAAACGCCACTTTACTCTTCAAGCTACTTTACATGGAGGAAAAGGGGATGTGGCCTGGCAACATGCTCAGTTATTCCGCCAAGCATCTGATAGTAACGAATATCCATTCATTGTTTCAATAACTTTTAAATAAGTGTTTTGAAGTGTTTTATTTATGTATATGTAGAGACGAAAATATTTATATGATATATCAAACTACGGAAGTAATAAAAGCAGTTTTATCAATAGTTGGACGTTTTTATTAATAGTTATAAATTTACATTCGTAAGTAAATATAATATACGAAGGAAATTTTCTTGTGCTAGTTGTAAGAGAGATTTAGACTCCCTGTAGCCCGTTCGTTAGTTCCGCCACTGGTATGCGGATTCATTTTTGACAGTTGGCATTTCTGGCAGTCGTTGACATTTGTGGTTGACATTACGTTTGTGACTAAATAAATAAATGTGGCACATGTTTTATGGGCACATGGTACAATTTGGGTACGACGTGCTAAAGTGTGCACTGTGACGTAGAGAAATAACTTAAATTTTTAAATAATTTAATCAACCCTTCTCATAACAGTTACAAAAATGGTAAGTGTTGTACGGAAACTGAGATATTCAAGATTTGAGGTTATGTTAAATCATCGTATTCTTGGTATTAACAGTTTTACGTTTCCAGCCCAAAACAAGAAAATTTATTGATAAAAAGAAAGCGGTTACTTTTCAACTTGTGCATCGAAGTCAGCAGGATCCCTTGATAGCTGACGAAAATGCTCCCCAGAGAGTCCTTGTACCACTGGTTGGCAAGGAGTCAGCACAAAATCGAGAAAAACGTTTAGAAGAACAGCATAAATATGGAATTCTCTATGATGATGATTCTAATTACTTAGAACATCTGAAAGATCTTAAGGACAATCGTGTTGAATGGCCTGAACATGTAGAGAAGTCACTTACAGAAAGAAAAGTTAAATTACAGTTGCCAGCAACAGTTTTTGCGTCACAAAATGAAGAGAAAGAAGGAATGTTAAGTAAAGCTGCTCCTATTTCAGGTGTGTTGTTACTATGATTTATAAAACTGTTGGTGTTAATTTTGTTTGTGTAGGTCCCCAGTTAGATTTAGATCCTGATGTGGTGGCAGCTATGGATGATGATTTTGACTATTCAGACCCAGAAAATCAGTTGGAAGATAATTTTATAGAATTAGCAGAGGGAGTTGCGTCGGACCAAGAATTTGAAAATGAATTTGAAATGGATTCAGATTTTGGAAGCGAAGAAATGGATGATGTAGCGTCACTAAATGGTTCACAAAGATCATTTAATGAAGAAGAAACTAGGTCTAAATTTACAAATTACTCTATGACAAGTTCTGTGATCAGAAGAAATGAACAACTTACATTATTAGATGATAGATTTGAAAAGGTAATCTTCTTTCTGAGTTAACAATAATAAGGTTAACCTCTGTGTTTGTTTATTAGATGTATGCTGATTACGATGAAAATGAAATAGGTGCTTTAGATTGTGAAGAAATTGAAGGTCATGTTCCTGAAAGTTCTGATATTCTATTACATTATGCAGATGAATTTGAAAAAACTCAACAGAAAGAAATTTTAGAACAGGAAGCAGCTAAAACCAAAATTACTGAACTGTTAGATAAAGATTCTGAGGGTGAAGAAGAAATGGTTTACGTGGAGGTTCCAGAAAAGGAAAAATGGGACTGTGAATCTATTTTGAGTACATACTCCAACATTTACAATCATCCAAAAATAATTAAGGAGCCTTCTGTAAGTAAATTTACAAAATGGAAGTTCAATAGATCCGTTAAAAAATTTAGAAAATTACATACAAATCAATATGCTTTAAAAATAGAATCAATTTAAAATCATTTTTATTCATGATCAAAGTGCTGCAACGTCGTCTAGCAATTACTGAAATTCAAATGTTAAAAAATGTATGAAATATCTGCAGTACCAACATTATTATTTTAAAAATATATTTTAGACGACTTTTTTTCGATCATATGGTATTAACCTTTGAAGTAAAAAATAAAACTATTTGTGGATATGACTGAAGGTATTTTAATAAGTTTAATTACAATTGATTTATTTTCTTCAATTTTCAAGGTAAATAAACAGAAAACATTGTAATCATTGCATATAAAAACTATTTAACTAATAATATAACTATATAATAAAAAACGCGAACGAAGGCAACCATGTTTTCAAATTGACAGCGATGAATTGACAAAACGAAAATTGTATCAGAGACAAATCTCCAAAAATCTGTGGCTGTCTTTGATCGTATTTTCATTGCTCTCTCGGTATAGTCGTTAATTTTTTTGTTTTTAAGACCTGCAATCTGAATACAAATTAGTCTTTTTACGATAACAATAAAAATAATAAATTATTCATGAAATAAAATTTATAAATAGCCGCTTTGTACAGGAGTTAACACGATTGTATTCAGTTTATGATAAACACGAAATGTTTTTATTGTGCAAACTGAATATGTCAATAACGATGCTCAAGTTGTACAAGTTGATAAATTTGAATTTAGCTTTATCAATATTTATTTATTACTTATAGTTACCTTCATAAACGTAAAATCCAAAGGCGGGTTGTTAATTAAAAATATCTGTATTTAGCATTAATTTCAACATTCTGCGAGATGTATACAATATTTTAATAAGAAATTTTATTTCTTCCTTAAAAACGACCCCGACGTTTAACTTACTAATGAATAAAACGTACAAAGTTGTTAGCGATTTCTGTTGTGATGGCTTCATTTCTGATTTTTTTTTCAGCTGATCTGTTTTCGTCGTTAATTCAGTTATAAATGTTAAAATCATGATAATTAAATTTGTTTTTGTCTAAAATACTTTACTATTGGGAAATTAAAGACGTAGAATATCTTAGATTTCATTTAACAAGCTAAGTTACACTTTTTGCGATAGTAAAGATACCAGTGTACGGTAGAAACCAAATTTAATGTACAATTTTTATTTTCCAGAAAAATCAAACATGCATTTTTCTCTTTTGTCATTTGATCAAATCAATTGTAAGGTTAAAAATTGACTAAAACGGGATTTTTCTAATACAATTTATATAATAACAATTTTGCGCCTTTGCGATTTTAGTTAATTGAACATTTGTAAGCACATTTTTATAAAGTAATGTCTATTTCAGTTATAAAATCTGGTATAATTAAAAGTCAACGTAAGAGTTGGAATTGCGTTGGGATTTACTGCAGTTTTTTTGCATAATTGCATAAACATCTGTGTTCTTTTTCTCACGAGTGTGATTTTTGTGATTTGCATACCATTGTGTAGACAGTACGTAACCTATTTCGCAGCATTTTAAATTAACAAGAAACATATTTAACAATGAAAATTATTGTGAACAATACATTTCAATAGCATTTGTTTTGCCGTTGGTAAGTAATTAAATTAGTAAGTAACAATTGAAAGGTGTAGTGTACCATGTTGAAATAACTTTTTGTTCACATTATGTATTTTTTAATATTATTGCACAAAGTAAGTAAAAAATACTTATTAGCAAAAATTGTTCTAAAGTTAATGAACAGATTTATCTTGGAAAAATTGTAAACTTTTGTTTTGCACTAAAAAAGTACATATTTAATATCAGTCACAGTGTAAGAAAAAAAACTGGCTCATGAAAGGATTGAGCAATGAACTGAACAATCACCGGTAGAATATTAAACAGTTTTGATTTTTTTAAATGTAGATACCTAGGGTAAAAACTCGAGGCAGATTCATAAACCACAAATACAGAAATGTGTTATTTTATAAAATTAACTAGTATTTGCCCTGCAAAATTTTGAGGTGCCTCAAGGAGAGTAAGATAACGTTTTAATATGACGTTGTTTTTATCTAGTTTAAATCATAAAAAAAAAATGTAAATAAGTACACAGTAGAAAAGGTGGTAAAATGTGGTTTGTTATTTTTGATGCAACTTCCATGTTTTCTCTTTCTGATATGTAAATACTGACTAACCGTTATTTTTAACCACGCTTATCACTGACAACAAAATTTAGGTGAAAATAAACTTTTTCCTTTGTGTGATTTCATTGGGGTTTTAGGTTAGCGGATAATAAAAGAAAGGTCATCAAGCAGATGATTATTCGTAATAAAATTTTTGCGCACTTTTTTGATGATTACTGAATCTATAATTAAAGGTCAATAGTAAATTGCTGTCAACATTGCGCAAGCATCTGTGTTGTAATTCCGTGTGTTTAAAGTACTTATTTTATCGTAGGCGGTATTGTTTTATGAAACAGTTCTGTTAGGCTGTGTTCAAATTTTAAAATCCAAAATAATTTCAATTTGTTGTTTACAATGAAGTATCTCTAGTGCTATCTTAAGTAAACTAGATCATTGTAGGGGAAAATACTACAGTGGATGTCAAAGTCCAGTCTGAAAATAATATAGATATTTTAATCCCCGTCAGATTATGGTATTTAGTTCATCAGAAATATTTTAGTAAATGTCGCTCTTATTTGGCATTGGTTAATGTTTTATTGTAATTACAGATAACAATTTTTAACGAATTGATAAAAAATATTGCTGAGAAATTTGATGCTGCCGTTATAAAGAATTTTTTTAATTATTATTAACAAGTTATTTACAATAATTCTTGAAAATTCTTGAAACTATCTAGCTATCTTTTGAAATTAGCAAAATTGACGCATATTAACATTTATTTGTCTCCAGGTTGAAAATCAAATTTCAAAATTCGGGCAAAATTCTTACGTGGCCGTTTTTTATTGTAATATAGAAATTGATCATATATTTTTTGGAAATAAAATTAATTTGACATTCTTCAAATGAATCATGATGACAAGTTTCTAAACTTCCAACTGATTCCATGCTTTTACAACCCTGTGTTTTTGGCATTTTTTCTTCATTATTAAGAGGGTTGAAAGATGGAAAGCTGATTTTCAAAGAACTTTTCATAATTGAAGAATAGCAAAATAAATACGTCGTAAATTGAATAACGTCGCGAATTAAAGACGTTTTATCTTAAAAAAAACTAAACTTATGTCGGAGTCTCTCGACACTATGTATATACGAAGGACATATTTTTCATTAAAAAGTAATAAATGTAAAAATTAACTGCAGCTGTTTAGGTGCAAAGACTGCTTTAAAATGGTGCGTTTAAAATCGAAAATAGAAAAGATATAGATATAATTATTGTATAAATAACTGATCGCAGTTTGTTTTTCTAAAAATAAACCTTGTAGAAATAATATGTACTTTTTTGTAGATTTAAGAAAAATTAATGATAACCAGGTAGAACAATATGTTCATTTCTAAGTGCATCCACCATTTCGACAAAAAAACTCAATGAATGTATTCACATTATCAGTGAACAAGTATTATTGTATATAAAAATATGGAACAACAAAGTTGAGTGGTTTTATATCTGCTTGTGTTTATGGCTGCAAAAGTGAATTGTTGGAAATCTTTGGTTGTAACTGTCTGTAATGTCATTAATGGCTGTTGCTACGTGGCGTGGACAGAATACACCACTTTAAATTCAATAAGAATCAGTGGTAAAATGATGGCTTGTAGTGTAAATGTGTGTGTTTAAAGTCCAACAAGAATCAAACAAAGTTTATATAGCGTTCGTAATAATTTTGTAATTTAGTGTTTTTTCCATTTTATGATTGCAACTCGACGAGTACTTTAATTTTTAAAGTGTAGCAATCACCAAAAAGTTATTAGGTCTCGACATTCATAATTTTTGTTCACAATGACTACGTTTAGTTGTAAATTACGTACAGTGTCTACGTATATTTAATTTTCGCATAAATAACTTTAAAGAACATTGTTTGAACTTATGTGTATTTTTATCCATTATCACTTGCCTTCCTATTATGTCATAATTATAATAAATTTTAAACATATTGTTATAACTAAGTTAAATGTGATCTAGGGAGTGGAAAATATGTAGCAAAATTTTGGGAAATATAATCATATCATATGCATCAAATTTATGCAAATATGCAGTAACTTTCTTAATATATGCAGAGATATGCAGTTGCATATGTATCAAAAATAAAAAAAGCGTTCCCCGAGCTTATGTTTTATTAGAAAAAATACATAAATTATTTAAAGAAAATATTCGTGTATTAAAAAAAATATAAACAGAGCAAACTAAAAAATAGTAGTAATCGACTATTTAATTACTATTTTGGTAACAATTTATTTTTAAATATTTTTCGAAATATTTAAACAAAAAGTTTTTCCGGCGATTCTAAAGTATGCATTTGTAAATAAAACTGCGTACTACGTCCACAGATGTAAAAATAAAGTAGCCCAAGAGCTATAAGGTTATATGACCATTATAAAATTAGTTGACCGCAAATAAATACCCCTTTTGTGTGGTTCGCACTTAACTTACCCGCTGGCAATAAATCGTCTTCTAAACATTTATTGCTTTTTTTTTGTACATTTAGATATTTAGTGAAAGCCGCCCCCGAACGGAACAACAGCCAGTCGAGCTGCAGTGGACACGTTGTTTATAGCTGGTTTCAAAATAAGAGAGTAAAACTACCTGGAAAACTGACTTGATTTTTAGGGTTTTCGAACAAATTAAACTAAGTTTGACCCTGGAATGATTGACAGCTTATACCCACTATAATAAATTACAGAATTACAGTAAGTACGGTCCTGTTATTCCAAGTTTGAGAGACAGCGCTCTTTATGGCCCACCTACCGCTTAGGGTTGGAAAACCCTAAAAGTCAAGTCAGTTTTCCAGGTAGTTTTACTCTCTTATTTTGAAAGCAGCTATACCACCCTAAAACTTTTTCAATTATAAACAACTTAACTTTGACACAATGGGATATAATTTTATAATGGCCATATACCCGTATAGCTCTTGGGATACTTTACTTATCGGTTAAAACAGGTGCGCCAAAATACAGTGGTTTCTTGAAAAATAAGTTCAGGAAAATGTTTAAACCATAAATTAATTTGAGTTATCTCCAACATATTGATACACCTGTATCGCTTTAAATGTTTTCAATGCAATCTTACGATGAAAAATAACAGAATAACGTCCTTTCGATCACCATAAAACATACTATTAATGCACCAAGTAACGAATAAAAATATTGGGAATGAACGGTATTTCCGAATGTAATTAGAGCTCGAATTTACCTGTAAGGACGGCTTAACGCCCAGTGGTTTCTCCAAACTACCATTAAACCCAAACCTTTCCTAATTATTTGAAGCTTAGGACAATATTTGCAACATGATTTATGAAATTTGGTCTTTCTAGATAAATGTCGATAGAATGACAATATTTTTTTTTAATTAGCACAAAAATTGATAAAAATACAAAATATGCAACCGTTACGTGAAATATGCAGCAGAAGGCAAACATATGCAAATATGCAATTTTTTTATAGCTGTATTCATTTCTAATTAGCATGATTCGTGCACATACTAAATATCAAGACTTATATGCAAAAACGGATATGCAAATTTCTTAAAATCCGCTCTCTAGTGATAACGTTACATTACCATAAGTTATCTAAAATCTAAACCTATTGTTCAATGAAGTAGAAAACCGTAATAACTCCATTAATATAACTATCCTGAGATCCCTACATTTTTTGACGCAATATTTTGTACAATGAACCTCCACATTTAAGATAAACAACGAAGGTGTGTTAATCATTGATCAAGCAATTACATCTATGAGTAATGATTTATCTCGTTTTGCCTTAAATGGAATTGTTTCATTACAGAAGGAAAAAATAAAAGTCGACAAAAAAACTGGAATCCCCCTGAATATTCTTGATGCAAACAAACTAACCCTCAAAGCTTTGGAAAAATTAAACCAAGAAAACGACCATTTCGAAAATCGTGGACCAAAATCAACAGGAATCCAGTCCGTAATCTCACAAATATCCACGCTTTCAGTGAGACCGAAAGATGAATCCCCTGAGGAACGAAAAGAAAGAAAGAAGCTACTAAAGGACTATAGAAAAGAACGGCGTTTGGAAAAGAAAACCAACACGGTAGCATTTAAGGAAGAGGCTAAAAGACAAGTTAAAATAAGCATAAACAATAGAAATAATGTTCAAGGAAATAAAATTCTGTAAACTACTTTCTATAATTAAGAATGTAAATAAGTAAATGATTATTTAATAAAACAAAAGCAAATAATGTCAATTTGTTATCAATGTTTACGCTTGTGCGTTGCGCCGCCACTGGACTCAATCCGGGCAGACAAAGAGGTGCTCACACGTACGAACCCATCACAGACATACGCTCGTTGTTTTGACATTTGCAAATAATGTTTTGATAGCTAACAAATTCGCGGAAATTCTGCTTATCCAAACTCGTTATTTGATTTCAAATTAGAGCCGTGAGGGTTTTTTGCGACAAAGAGTCGATCACGTGCAGTTGGTTACCTCACAGCTGTTCGACGTCTGTGCGGGATAAGCTCCGCACACGTTTGATAGAAGAATAGACGCTATCGTCATGCGCACAACGGTCAGGTGCGTCCGTTTTCGCGTGCGCTCGTACCCAAACCCAGTATGTCTTAGCTCGCTGAAATAAAGCTGGACAAGGAACTTCGATTTAATATTGTCCAAGCTGTTGCATAGTATGGACGTAGTTGTAAAATGTGCAAAGAGTTTATACAACAAACGTTACGCCGTCAGTATAATAGGACATTGCGACTTTATCAAATGATCAGTGATTTTTGCTAGCGATTGTTCGTCTAGCTTATTTTGGTTTCATTGAATTTATTTCCATTCAAGAAAAATGTGGTGTCTCATCAGCCAGGCCAATTCGGTCGTTTTTGAAGTTCGAGTCGACCCCAAAGCCATCGGGCAAGAGTGTCTCGAGAAGGTAAGAATTTTTAGTTTTTGTTGTTAGCGATATGTACAGGGTGGCTCAGCCCAATTTTCAAAATGTCAAAGTGATGTTTGTGACTTGTCAAAAATGCAACCCTGACATTGTCTACTTGGTTTTCTTATCAAGAATTCAGACCGTGACTAAAGTCACCAAATTTACTTTATTTGTGATTCTGTGATAACTTTTGACTCGCACACTTTCTTATCTCTGTAGGGGTTACTCGTCCAGTAGAATTAATTTTTAGAAAATTATGCAATTGTGCGCTATTTTTGACTAATAGTGATACAATCTCGTCCATCGAGATTGATTAATTACTTTTTTACTTATCTTTGTAATTTAAGTTATTTCTTTAAATAAACAAAGTCTTATCGTAGATGCTGACTTGTTGGGTTATAAACTTTTCGGTTGAATAAGTAACGTACATTTACATTTTTTGGAGATTTTTAACTATTTTTAACTTACTATCTGTGTGTGAAATTTTATTAGTGGATCAGCATAGACAAAACTATCAACTCGTTTCACGTACTCAACACGTTTTGTAAAAGTCTAAAGTCCAATCAAAGGTACCGTTCAAAGTCCAATGTTCAAAACCAGGTAACAAACAATTTTAGGCACGATATCAGCTCGTAACATGTTATTTCATGTTTTACATATATATGTGGTACTTAAACTAAGTATACATTTGAAATGATGGTTAGGCGAAAGTTATCCCAGCGTTTTTTATATTTACACCCTGTTTCACGTTAGAATGTTGAAGTATTCTTGTAGAATTAATTACAGTTTTATTTTTATCAAATTTATAAAAACAAGTTGACCTAGTCGTAAACATAATATAAATAAGCTAGAAAAATAGTAAATCGGGTTTTTAGCATCCTTTTATTTAATTGTAGACACGTGCAGTTTTAGGTCTTACGGAAATTCAATATTTTTTTATTGTGTGCAAATTTATTTTGTCTATATTTAGGTATAGTGACCGCTAAACTACCCATAATTTAATAATTCTTTGTACATTCAATTGCACGAACGTTGCAGTACAAAAATACATATTCATAAATTGTGATAAAAACTCATAAGTAAACTTTAACATTTTTATTTATAAGAAACGTAAAAAATGTATGAAAGTAAAAATTACGTCATTCAAATTATCAATTTGAAATTCGAACTACTACAAAGAAAATTATTGTGAAATGGAACTGTTTAGTTAATTCATAGTAAAAATTTTCAGTATTGTCGAGTTATTGTATTATTGTACAACAAACTGTAATGGTTATGTACCCATTTTGTATACTTCCCCTCATTTCAGAAAAAAAAATGAAAAATTAAAAGCTTCACATAGACGTAAAAAAATAAATTAAACTTCAAGAATATTTATTTAGTATTATTCTATTACAGGTTTGCACTTATGATTGATTGTCTCTGTATTCATTTTTTACGACATCATTCAGTAGCAACCATACATGTTGGATGGGTTTTACAATACTTTTCTAAATTCTGTAAAATTATATGATTAGTGTAAAATTAGCAACCCCACAGTTTATAAATATTTCGACGATAACTAAAAGTAAGCAATATATGTAACTGAGGCCGGACCTGCACCCGCTGGTAAGATGTTGGTACAAAATATAGATTTATGACGGTAGACTCGTGCCCGTGACTAACAGTACAAAAGGGATTAAAGGGATTATTATTCCCCATTACTAGTTTTAGTGGCCTTAACAGAATTTGGAAAACTATACTTTCGTTGCAAAAAATCAGCATGTAAGTATTAAAATTACACAATGTTGAAAGTGTAATTATAGAATAATATTCTGTCAAGTTTATAAAATAGCTTCAACGTCTATACAATGGAGAATTATAAGTCTGAGCTTGTTTTGGTAGAAAGTTAGGGCGTTCATAAAATGCGCCCTTTTTTAATCCGCACCCTCATTATCTGTTCAGGTACCTATAATAGCTTACCGAAACTGTGCACCACCATGTGGATTAGCTGAACCCTTTTTAACGATTCCTTAGTAGTTACCATTCGCTTGGAATGTTTATTGCCCCCAAACAACTAATGGCGGTCAGGTATAGCTGCTTTCAAAATAAGAGAGTAGAACTACCTGGAAAACTGACTTGACTTTTAGGATATGATAATAGCGCCATAAGCTTAATCATTCAATCATTCCTATTGGCCCACTTACCGCTTAGGGTTGGAAAACCCTAAAAGTCAAGTCAGTTTTCCAGGTAGTTTTACTCTCTTATTTTGGAAGCAGCTATAGATACGACCTCCATTTTATATCTTATAAAACCCAACTTTGAATAATGTTGTGAACGTTTTGAACGAATTTCAAATACATTCTTATATAAAATGACAAATTGTGAACGAAAAACTAAGAATTGAAGACGTAGATACTAGAAGAGTGCAACAATTTGTTCAATGTAAAACAAAATGAGTATACAATAACCGATATATTGATAGACTGCATTATGTAAAATGTTAAGGTTAGGCAAATAAACAGAAATAAAAAATTCTCTATGTTTACTACAGAAAGTGGAGATTACCAACAATCGTTTTAATTACCTACTTGGTGCCCAGTTTAGGGCCGCCGGAAAGTTATGTTGAGGTTTATAGATACAGCTTTAGCTTTGTGACATCACAACTGAAAACCTCATAAAATTGGTTTCTGCATGACTCTTGGTAGTTATGTCACATTTTAAGATAAGGAGAGGAAAACAAAATAAAGTGAATAAGTAATTTCCTTGAGGTTACTTATGATAATGGGACTGATGAGACATCGTACATCATCAGTTGTGGGATGCGGTTTTCGATATGATTAACATTTATAGTTTGTAAAATTATGAATATAAGTGCCAAGAACAATCAACATTTAAAATTTATACGGAAGTACTTAGTTTTTACAGCTGACTGCGACTTTAACAGGAAACTTCCGGACTTGCGTCCTCGTAGTAATCCAAAATTAAAATCAAGCAAACATTTTTACGATTAGTGTGTTATTGTTGTTGGTATATTAATAGCTTAAAGACTATAATTTGCAACCTTTGGCTACGATGTGTTTATCGATTATAATTTATAAACTGCACGCCATGCCTTTCAGCAACTGCTAAGTTTGTTTTTATAATTTTAACAACACTTCTTTCTCGTTCCATTTCTTGCAAAATATTATACTAGCACTATTGTTTTTTTTTTATTATTTGGAAACGATTATGCGATGAAGTACGAAGATGACCGCATTTGACCCGTGTCCAACACTTAATCACATTTCGCTATTGAAGAAAGAACCTTAAACGCGTTCTTGCAATATGCTAATTTTATTCCATTTTTTTAACAAAGAAAATTCGTTTGTTTTTATGCACATGGACGTTTTAATATTTATTTCATCCAATACCGGCACGTAGTCAGTTGTATTGCTTGTAAAACACCCAGTTAAGTGTGCGAAAATCCGAAGTAATTGTTGTTTACAAAAATTGGATCGTTCTAACACGCACTAAATAATAAACATTTCTTTTTATTTCGGAAGTATGATAAGCCGACAAGAGTCATTATTTTTTATAACGTAAACTGTTGACAGGAAACATTCAGTTACAGCCAAATTAGATACTTTGTTAAATTGAAGAGAATAAATTCTTGGAGATCCATAACAAATATGAAATTCAAATGAAAATTTTCATTTCAGTTTTAATTATCTTTCTTTGTCGTGACTGGGAGATATTACGGGGTTTTTATTTTTGCAATTCTAAAGGGCTCAAATGTTTTTGTGTTTGTAATTGAATTCGGTATTCGGCTTTCACCGCAAGATTTTCTGTGATTAAGATGAAATTAAATTCTGGCATTTGGATTTACTTTTTTTTTTTCAGAATAAACAGTCAACTTTTGCGCACTTGTAAGGCGGTCAGTGTAGGTGTCCAGTGTGTATGTTGTTTACGTTATATGGTCGATGATGATTCAATTCACTCGATCTCCAATTTAAATAAGCGAGTTTATCAATAATGGGCTATTTCTGTTGCTTATTATTCAAAAAGTGTCGTTTTATATACAATCGTCTTTGTTGTCTATTCGTGGTAAATTTGTGAGTTGGTTGAAGTAGTCATGCTCGAAATTACTAAATTCAATAAATTTGTATGTGTATACAACAATTACAAATATTCTGCAGTGTAATTTTATGAATATTCTATTTGGTCGCGACAAAAAAGGAAAATTGGGAACGCGAATAAATACAATATTCCCCATTTAACCGAAATTAATTTTAGCTCTACCTACAAAGTCTTCTCTGTTTTTCTGCAAAGCGCCGCATAAAAGTATGATCCAAATATTTAAAAAATTCCCAAGCGCTTATAACATATTTCCAACATATCTCATCAGTCATCACCCACACAAACGCTATCGGCGCCCCTAATTTACATGAATTCCGCTTTGTTTGGGACAGTTTGCTCAAATATTTGCAGTGGTAGGTAGTGTTTCGTTTAATTTTAACTTTTTACCATCTCCCACTAGCGTGTACTCACAACCGTGATTACAATATTTTTGAACGCTAAACTGTCATAATTGGCACAAACTACCAGAATTGATTTCATGCAAAGCAGACGAGTTGCATTCGTGTAGAGCGTGATTCTTAATACGTTGGTAGACGATTTCACGTTCCGCTGCCAACCGTAGTTTTAAATATAATTTGGCTTTCTCTCTTGTTGGTGTGTGTGGTTTATGTAACCACTGAGTACCTGACTGGCACCTTGCTGGTGCAGAAAATTTGCATAGCAAAATTCGATTGTATTTCGTCCAGTGATCGGTGTCTAAATTTCGTGTGCTAATTAAAATCCGTAAATATTTTAACACAACACACGTTTCCAGCTAGAATTTATAAAATAAACAGGCTGAAAATACGTAAATCGAAGTCATTGCAGAATGTATAGGTACAACAATAATACATGCTGTTTTAAAACAGAACACGCTACAGCGCTTTCTGTTTATTTTAAACGTTGTAACGCAAAGTTGATGA